TGGGTCAAGGCCCAAATTGGTAACCCTCTCGGGCCTTGCCAAATGGTGAGGCAGAGGGCCCAACCTGCGGTACATGGCGTACTGTGCGAATACAGTCATGGCATAGCCATAACTCACAACCCGTTCGACACTTTGGTGCTTGAAACCATTTTTAAACTCATTTTTACGTTCAAAATAATTTTCTATCATTTTTATAACTCGATTTAAATATACAAATTCATATCCACACATGGTACAGAGACAAAACACTCAAATTCAATCAAACACTCGAAAAAATATGATTTTTAAAACAATACTCATTGCATGCATGAAATCAATCCAAAATATCATGAATTTCATTGCCTTTAAACGTTTTCAAATTCAAAAAACATAATAAGAGAGTACATGAAAATACCAAGACCCTTACATAAACTTTCAAACTTTCAGGTTCCCAAAATGAAGTTACTTGCTGTTTGAAGGAGAAGGAAGGTTGCTCTATAACCCGTGGATTTTTAGAAGAATTTGTAAAAATTTAAGGAAATGAAGAGCTTAAGGGTGAGTTCTTGGAAGTCTTAGTAAATAATGAAAATCAAGAAGAAAAGTAAAAAATTTACCATGCGAAGAAGGAAACTTTCTCAAGTCTCCTTGGTTTCGTCTCTCTCTTAAGCTACTATATCTCCCTAATCTCTCTCTCTCTCTTTGTCGGCTAAGTGAAGAAGAAGAAGGAAAATGAAGCAATAGAGGAGAGGAGAGGAAAAATGGGCTTTAAATAGCCAAGTGGATTGCATGTGATCCAATGGATCACATGCAATGGTCAATGGTTATTGATCGATTGAGTTGTTAATTGGTCATTGCCTTATGGCATGCATGGCACCCAGGTAGGCGCTGCGTATAGGCAAGACATGCAGCAAGCAGACGTCAGTAGATAGCAGCAGACATTGTCCATCTGCGATGGGACGTGCACTGTAGGTGCGTGCATTGTTTCGCTTGCGCTGCAGGTGCTTGGTGATGGGACATGCATTTCAAGCATACGCACTCTCCCGCGTGCGCTGCAAGTGCATAACGATGGGGCGTGCATTATAGGCGCCCGCATTGTTCCACGTGCGCTGCAAGCGCAAAGCAATGGGACGTGCACTATATGCGCGCACACTATTCCTCGTATGCTACAGGCGCGCGGCGATGGGATGTACGCGTATGTAGCGCGCGGGCTCGCGTGTTTGTGTTCGCATGTCCATTTTTCATATTTTTTTTCTTTTTTTATTTTAAAATAATAATTTTTAATTATGCCGAATTTAAATTTTAGAATGCTAAATTTAAAATCAAAATAAAACAAAATAAAACATCTGATGTTAAAACGCTTTTAATATTGTAAATGCCAAATTAGAAATTTAAAACACAATAAAAGGTTACATTCGATATATAAAAAGTTTAGGGGTGTCACACTTCCCTTCACAAAAATTTGGTCCTCTAAATTTGGAAATTAAAATAGATCGGGCCACTTATTTCGTATTTCATATTCAAGATCTCACGTAGCCTCTTCAGGAGAATGACCATAAGAATTCTTTTATTCCTCAATACCTTTTCCTCTCGATCAAGGATCTCGACATGATACTCTACGTAGGACATGGTTGAATGAACTATAAATCGTTGATGCAGAATGATGTTAGAAGAATGAAAGACATCGTGTACACCCATGAACTTGGGTGACAAAACAATATGATAAGCTACAGGGCCAACACGCTCTAATACCTCGAAGGGTCCTACAAAACGAGGATTCAAT